GTAAGCGAGGTTATGGGAGAGTGTTTGTAAGTCGAAGTTTGCTAGATGAAGCAGTTGAATTCTGCACCCTAGACGGTGAAAGTCCAGTAGTCGAAAGCAACACAAGCTTTAGCTCTAACCCAAGTAGCACGGGACACAGTATTTGTGTATGGTTGGGGACTGGCGCATTCTTCCTATGTGAGCGCCAAGCCCCTTCACACCATGGAATGATGATGATGTATGTTTGGTCTGCATTGCAACATTCATTGTTCGGATCATTGGTATTTTAGCCTTCCGCTGCGCTATCTTGTACTATGTGAGAGAGGTCGGTTCTTGTTCTTGTCTGTACCGTTACGGTATGCGACAGCGGACCAGTACTATATAGTGCTGGTCCGGCTGGGAGGCTGCTCTTGCCAATGCCAAATCGTGCCAGACCCCGGCGCTGAAGTTCAGAAAAGGTTGTCTTGAAACGGGCCTAAAACTGGCCTGCGCTCATCCCTGGTCCGGCGCCTAAGTTTCAGGAAAGGTCGACTTTATGAGGGCCTGGAAATGGCCCTCGTTTTTAGGCTTTTAGGCTGAAACGACACATGGCCTGGAGGGCCCTTACTTTTGCCTGGTCGGGCCCTGCAGGGCCCGTGCGGTGTGTAGTATGCCACAGTTAAAGGTCGGAGCTTGGGAAAGGCCGATGGTAGGCCTCCAACAACTGGTTTTAGACCTGGGTCTGCTACTGCACGCCCTGAGCGGGAAACCGGCTCAAACATGTTTCGTTTGAACTTGGCGGCCAACGTTTGAGGCTGCCACTTCCCCGCGGGTCCAATCTTAACCGCAAATCGGTTTGATGGTTCAGATCACAGCGCGGCTTCATCAGCAGCCAGGCCGAACAGGCCACCGCCGGTACTTAGTACCGGACAGCAGTCTGTTCGGGACAGAATGGAGGTCACGACATTGAGGAGCAGCGCTGCGCTATTTTGGTATTAGTACAGCTCCAGGCAGTAGCGCAAGGTGTAGCTGCAACGACTTGCTGATTTCTGCTGCCGAGATCTGATTGCGAGGTTGTATAGTCGTGTCAAGGACTAACCGCCGGTCTCATCCTGAGGGAAATTCGTGAGGGACATATCTGCAATTTACACGACCATTGCAGGCCCGAGTTCCCCTTAGCCGGCATGGCCCTTAGCAGACCTGGGCTATCACTAGGACAGCAGGCCCATCTGGGCCTTGGGCTGTAGAGACGGGTTAAGCGCCGTGTAGCCGGGTAGGGCCCAGGCCGAACAGGCCAAACTGATGCGGTACCGGTCCAGTATGTCTAGGTCTAGAGTAGGCAAGTCTATTAATAGGACTGAGCCAGTAGGTTAGGGACTTTTGGCATTTCATTTTCGCGATACAGCATTCTGGAGCCAAACAAGTTTGGTGGTGGTGATTGTCTACAGGCGGCACATCCTGAGACCCTCATCGTGGACGGCAGCCATAGCCAGCCTGCCGGTGGTTGCCATAGCTGGGGCACCCTATGCGCATCTACCTCTGGGGGTATCTGCAATTGGCTGGGCTGTTTAGAGGCTCTTCGCGGAGTCTACGTGGGTGGACCAATGTCGCCCTTCACTCCTTAAAGACTGTCAGGGCTTCGTCAGTGGTGTGGCAGCCATGGCTGCCATCTTCTTCGTAAGAGTTCCTCATCGGCACTGAAGACTTCATTACGATTCCTGTTCCTCATCTGGATGGCTGGCGCTGGCCTCGGGGAGGCGGATTCTGTGGGGCACTACTAACTGGGTGTGGAGTAGAGAGTGGTGTGTGGAGTTCTGAGAGTGGCGAGACACTGGGATAAACTCTGTAACTATTATTGGTTTGAGTTGGCTCATCATCAATGCGATTCCAATTGTTATCCTCGAAGGTGTCTTCTTGTGATTGGTTGTTGGGAGTCTGCCAGAGAGTGAGAGTCACTGTGTGTCTTCTCCCCGTCCGTGCATGGTTGAATTCCGCTGCTTATCTTTGTCTGTGTGCAGTTTGGACTTTGTCTCCTCTCCCCCTTGTCTGGTATATGTATGGGCGTGTGTTAGACACTCTGTGTGTGAGTGGCGAGAAAATCGACAAACAACCAAGTTCATAACAGTTGGTATCGGAGCGGGATTGGAATTGGAACACTGAGGGTTGATCGCAACTGAGGCATCTTCTTCATCTGCCGATCTACTGGCGAGAAGTTTCATGGCGATTCTCCTTCTCCAGTACTGAGATAGTAGAGAAAAAGATTTCAAGCCGTGATTTCAGGAGTTCAGTGCTTGTACTGAACAAGCGCACTGAGCCTGACAGGGCGCTTGCCAGGAAGTGGCAAGAACATGGCTAATTCGCCATAGCCAACCCTGAGGGCAATACAACGAATTGCCTAAGAGAGGCGAATTACCCCTGAGGACTTCAGAGACCTCTGAGCGGCTTCATCCCTGAGCAGCGCTGAGGTGGATTGACAGTCTGTGTCAATCCCAGGCGAGATTAACCCCATTTGGGGCTATTTATAGCATCAGCGGCCGTCAGGCACTGTGGCGAGATAATCTTTTGTTGGCTTTCTGAGTGCCACAGGGTCAGATTCAGTGAATCTGACTAGAGGGGCTGAAGCGCCTCAGGACCCTGATCAAGATCAACGAGTCTGGAGAGATTTGATGCGTGGAGATCAGAGGAGGAATTTCTGGAAGAAATTGGCGAAGTGAGGGTTTCAGTCTGCCATAGCTAGATCTTCATCGACCTCTGCAAGAAACTCTGAAAGTGAGTCCGTTGCATGCAAATCTCTGTACAACGATTCAGATAGGGTTAGAATAGCTAGGAGTAATGGTCTGTATGTCTGTCAATGTATGAAATGAAAAATCGCAGACTGCATGACAGCCATACCCATCTCTCTCCTACCTCTTCCTGCTCAATTCTTACCCTTTGCCGACTCTTTTCCATCCAAAATTGTTATGTGACTGTATTACTGTATTGCGCTTGATCCTGCATGCTCAAACTGTGAATTCTGTACTGGAATGGTAGAGATACTGTGAATTGTAGTTTTGCGTTGAGTCTAATTATAGCCTATGCTAACTAGGGTCAGTCATAACTCCAATTCTGTCCGTCAGAATTCAATTCTGCTAACAATCCAATAGTGGTCAGTAGGGCAGAAGCGTTTGTCTGGATTTGCAGTATTCCACTAGATACAGTGAATACTGTAATTCGCCATACCCAAGGGTATGGCCGTTAGAGTCATCAGGGGCCGAAATTGCAGTCTGAGCTAGGATCTAAGCTTTCTGACTGAATCGCTCTGTCTGGTTGGTC